TGAAGGGTATGTTTGGAGGAGGGGGGGGCGTCAAGGGGATGTTTGGGGGACATGTCTCTACAAACAGCAAAGTCATTCACAGACGGTCAATTTTAGGTAGACAATGTCACAGAGTGGATAAAAATGGATAGATCACCAAATGTTGTATTAAATCTATACAAATATATGATAAAAAAATCAACAACGAGAAACAAAAATTTTGAGAATAAAACTAGCTTTAAACTTTTAATTTCATTCAATGAAAGCTAAATTGAGTATTTAAAGTTCAAATGTCAAATTTGTTTAGAAGGGTTGCGTGAATAATTTAGAAAATATTGAATACTAAACACAATTAAATATATCATATATAAAACAACTTTTTTAATATACGGTGATAACTAGAAAGAAGTGTTAATATTTGGTGAAACCCTTTGAAAGTCCAAAACCTTAAAAGTTAACATTATATTGTTATTAAAGATGCTATACGGGGAGACTTATAAAACTGTGGAATAAGATGATATCTAAACAATCTTATGTTTATTTGACGTTGTCATAAAACAAAAAGTTTCCCAGTAGTCGGAAATGGGTCTCTCAAAATTATCTCCATGCAGTGAATGCAGTCGTATTCCGGTTTTACGGGTACCGCTGTATACAAACAAATGTAATAGCAAAGGATATACATAAAAAACTTTTTCTTAAAGGGAGTGACCGGCAATGTCTGGTAGTTGAACTGAGAATATAGTATTTGTTGAGAAATTTTCAAGGATTCATTTGAGACATATAAAACTTTTTAATGATGTATAATTACTGAGTTGGAGCGCAAAATCGACGTTCAAAATCATCCATTTGGGTGGTTACTTATTGAGAATTTATTTTTTTAAATTATTTAATAACGACGACAAAAAATGTAAAAAAATCAACAGTAAACTTATTAGATGTTTCGGAGCATATTTCTCAATTGAAATTTCCTCAATAAATCAATGTTAGAATCAATTATTTCTTATCCTTATTATCTTGAATATTTATTCTTCATGAATTTGTTCGCAGGTTTCTTCAAATTCTTCAAATGTCGTCTTTTCAATAAAAATCCCAGGATATCTACAGAATATGTTTGTGACCAATGAGACATTACAGAAACCAATAACAAAATAAGAATACTTATTTTCGATGATAATAGTTAATTTTTGTTTTCTTAACCTGTTCCTAAAAAACAAATTTGTTTACTGTAGAAATTTTACTATATTTTTCGTCGTCGTCATTGACTAACTTTTTGAAAAATATGCTGAAAAAATATGCACTGTAAAAACGTCTCATATGATGTCTCAAATGATTCCTAAAAAATGTCTCCTCAATACTACATTCTCAGTTCCACACCCATACATTACTCCCTTTAACTTGTTCTAAAAATTATGACGACCTTTTAGGCTCTGATTTGAAATATTCTTAATTCATCACATTAGCTTGAAAAGAGAGATATGTGTAAATATATTTAAAATCCTGAAATAAATATGGCCGACTATGCGAGATGAATTGCAACGCAATTTTCTTCTTTGTATCCTACAATATATGTTGTACACCTCATGTGACAGATGCAGATAGAGGGGGGGGGCGCCCCTCAAGGGGAGTAGGGGGGTGAGGCACTTCTAAAGGAGAGCAGGGGGGGGAGGTCATTAAAAGTTCCCCCACGTACTAGAAGTCCCTCTGCTCGGTGATTTTAACGGCTGTTGGACACACGAGTATATGTAGTAAATACCCTACTCCAGACCAGTTTCTCCAACACGTATCTATCCAGTTTTCACTTAGCTATCAATGTCTACATCCGGACACAATATCGTGAACTATCAATGTCAACCAGGACACAAATTCTTAATCGATCAACATCAAACAATTTGCGCGATCAGCTATCAATGTTTACACGGACACAAGCACTAAATCGATCAAGGCAAAACTAATGTACGCGATCAGCTACCAATATCTACACGGGTTTACAGAATATCGTGTTACCTGATATCTATTACATATGTACAGGGTGTTAAAGAAAAAACACCTTTGTTACATTTATACATATGTATACGCACAACCAATATTATTACAAGGTGATCCTTATTTTTTGAGTTTATCCTAAAAAAAAAAATTATACAACAAATTTTTTTTCCCTAGCCCCTAGACTGTCATGGCAGCGGTGCTTGCATTAAAAAGTTTTCAACTCGTATTTTAGGATTAAGCCTAAGTTTTAATGATCAAAAAACATTAAAAAAATTACATTTTTTGTGACGGACACGGTAAACCATCTTCATCTAGACAAAATTCATTAAATATGTATATATGTCCTCCAGCCTGGTCGGGTTAAATTGTGTTTTCTCTACAAAAGTAACAATTTTATTGCAGGAAAACATTTTTGAATGATCAGAATTAAATTATTTTAAATCTACGAAAACGACGATTTCTTCCACACTATTGGTCAGATAAAGTCCCTTTAAGAAAAAATAGTTCCTACCTCGCATTAAATCTGAAAGTAACTCTTTTAAATCCATCATTTTCTTCTCATCAAGATGTATATTTCCAACTCGTCGAAGAATGAAATCTCTAAGAAGACAGTTTTGGATTATTGCCATAATTTCAATAGGTTGGGATAGGGCTTGATTTGTTTGATCGTTTGTTCGGGTTTCGTTAACAACGGCTAGATCGTGTGCTCGTTCATTCCGTTTGTTTACGATAAGGTCATTAATGATATTTGATCGTTACAAAGAAAATGCTGTCTTTATTATTCTCAACGATGTGGTGGTTAACAGAAATACCGTCTGGGAATTCCAAAATGATCGCTCCTAACAAACGGCGACCATTACATTTACATTTTTCTATCAAACAAGGAAGAAACGTAAATTTCTTTTTCGACTAACTTTAATCTACTTGAATGTTTCTAACCGCAAGGAATATATGACTGTCCCTACCTTCTACCTTCACACAACGATTTAATACTGCTCAGTTTCAAAAATCGTTTGTTGTTGAATTAAAAAAAAATATTAATACTTGACATACTCCAGAGGACCATCGACCCCTGGCATCTTGTAGGTAACCTCTTCTATGGTCAGCTGGAGAAATGCACTGAAAAGTAATAAATAAACTTATGCACAAATGTTTTTATTTGGCTTCTCTCTCTCTCTGTTTGGTTGCATCGAGCTCAATTTTTAAAAGGACGTGAAATCACCTTAAAGGAAGTGTTCGCGAAAAATGAAAGGGATAGTTGCGTCTATAAAGAGAAAATTGACAAAAATGACTTGTACCTAAGAACGTAGCGTCCATAAAAATTGAAAAAATGCAACATACAACTCGGATTGTAAAAAAATCAATTTAATTTTAAACAAATCATTCAAATATTAAAACCAAGTCATTGATTTTTTTTCGACGCATTCGCATAAAGTTTATATTTGATAATATTTATATTTGTTTTGTATACAATTCACTTAAAACGCCGAAATAGTTGGCCGTCAGGTGTCTCTGCTTTTGATACTTTCAATGATTACACGTGGCAGAGACGCCTAGCGGAAAAAAGTAGCTTTAAGTGCATTGTATATTTAACAACAAATAAGAAATGTTATGAAGTATTAATTTTATAGGAATGTGTCGAAAAATAATCGATGATTATTGGTTTTAAAATCTGAATGATTTGTTTGATACTAAATTGATTTTGTTACGAACCGAGTCGTATATTGTAACTTTCTAAATTTGTATGGACGCTACGTTCTTCAGTATGAGTCGTTTTTAACAATTTTTTCCTTATTGACGCAACAGATAGTAGTTAGACTAGTAGCGATTAATAGCGCTTACTTTTCGCAGTAAGCCTATATACCCCCTTCTAGTTTTCGCGAACACTCCCTTTAAGGAAAGGATATTATAGATACATAAAATCTAAAATCTTTGATTTGATTTATATTTATTTGGAAAAACATGAATTCAAAACAGAAAAATCTGTAAAGAGATTTTCTTTTATAAATGGTTGCAATTATTTAGTAATATTCAAAAATCAAAAAATTAAAAAGATGGAGTGGCAGCGCCCTTAACCCAAATTTTGTATTTGTTTTGTTAGCTATATATATGATTGCTCTATTACTAACTTTTTAACTCGATCAATAGCAAAGCTGCTTCGTTTCTTCAAGTGTTCTTGGAGTTTGGGTCTATTAAATAAAATAAAATTGGAAAAAAGTGTTTTGAAGAACAATTTTTCATGAAAAGAAATAAAGCAAAAGATGTTGTTGGAATACAAAAATAGGTCTACAAAAGAGGATACAAGAATATATAAAATATAAAATAGGTCTACAAGAGAGGATACAAGAATATATAAAATATAAAAAATAGGTCTACAAAAGAGGATACAACAATATATAAAATAGGTCTACAAGAGAGGATACAAGAATATATAAAATATAAAAATAGGTCTACAAGAGAGGATACAAGAATATATAAAATATAAAATAGGTCTACAAGAGAGGATACAAGAATATATAAAATATAAAAATAATGTATAATGTACTAGCTGGAGTGCCCGGTGTTGCCCAGGTTTATATTAATATTCATAATGGTAATAAGTGCTTTGTTTTAAATCATGAATTTAGCCCAAGTACCCGACGTTGCCCGCGGAATTTTAAAATTTAAAAAATCCCACGAATTCTACTTTTGTAAATTCCTGTTTTTTTGCAAGTTCATATTAAACCTTTGGTATTTAGTATTTAGGTCATTGATCTAATACAGTTCATATTTAATAATATGGAAGATTTTAGGTCAACACAATATACGGATTTAAAAACTTAAAATTTTGAAGAGGTTCTGTTATACAGATTAATTAAAAGTGATATGTTTTAATTTCGTCTAAGAAAATTTTACACTTTTTTAATTTAAAAAAAACCTATTTTTATAGACTTAAAAAGAAGAACCTGAAGTAATCCTGGTTGAGCTTGATGGTTTCATTGATAATGAAGTTATTATTAGTCTGAGGTAAACCATCTTCATCTAGACAAAATTCATTAAATATGTATATATGTATACGTATATAATATTCAATACATACAAAATATCTTGATAATATACAGGGTGTCCCAATAAGAATAGGAATTCAGTGACGATGTTGATATCGTCTGTGTAAATGATTTTTGATTTAGTATAATGGTGATCCCTAAAGCTGTAATAATCCGTCTTCTATCCAGTTAAGAATTTCTTTATGTTTTTATTGCATACTGTGCTTTACATAGCAATATCAGAAATTCGTGTATTCAAACACAGTACAGTTATTTCTCTTAACTGTCTATCTTGCAGATATGTTACAGAACATCATATAAAGTTTTGCAGAATAAAAAACATGGTCATTTACCGTTTACATAAAATATACTCTAGCAAAAGTATAAACTTTATTTTGACCTTCGAAATTAGGTAATACAATGCTAATTAGGTAATACAATGCTAATTAGGTAATACAATGCTAATTAGGTAATACAATGCTAATTAGGTAATACAATGCTAATTAGGTAATACAATGCTAATTAGGTAATACAATGCTAATTAGGTAATACAATGCTAATTAGGTAATACAATGCTAATTCTTTGCAAACACGATTTTGAATTCGTCTCTCAATTCCATATTTATTGGGACTCTTTGTAGATAATTTGATTAGAAAGGAATTGAGTTTTTGCCAGAAACTCTGATTTTCTAATCCCTATATCTTTGCAACCCAAAGTTGTATCCCTTTGATGTTTCAAGTTATGAGCTCTGTTAGATCAAATAGTCTAAGTTTGAAATATCAAAGGTTAACATCATCATGTTGCAAATATATAGAGATTAGAAAATTTGAGTTGGTTGCAAAACTTAATTTCCTTGACAACAGTTGAATTTCATAATCTCACTGACTGATATGAAGAAAGGATATAAAGAATATAATTTTAATATTTTAGCCTTATAGTCAAGATTAAATTGTATTAAAAACATCATGTCCGTTTTCACAAAAAACATATTTTTTACCGAAAGTATAAAGCGTAAAGAAATTATTATTGAATAAGAATACAAAAAAATAATCTATGAAAAATGTTTAAATTATTTGAATAATTTCTTACCCTTGGGTTTGTTCATTTTGAACTGTACTTGATAAGAATTGAAGAACAGTAAGTTGATAGCACAACTATTTCCGCAGCAGAATTAAATCAAACTTTTAGTCCTTCGGCTCTTTAAGTAAAGGAATTGAGCCTTGTAACAAACCCTGGTTTTCAAATCCCTATATCTTTTCAACCAAGTGCAGTACGTAGACCTTTGATATTTCAAATTATGAAATATGTTAGATTAAACAATCCAAGTTTGAAGTATAAAAGGTTTACACCAACCGGTTGCAGAGATATAGGGATTAGAAAATTTGAGTTTGTGGCAAAAACTCAGATCCTTTGGAAAACAAGGACCTATATAAGGACCTATATAAGGACCTATATAAGGACCAATATAAGGACCTATATAAGGTTTTATAGTTGCAATGGAACGCTCAAACGCTGTGTGATATTAAATCTTCTTTTTATTTATCTTTATGTGAAACACTAGCTTGGGACCCAAGTCCATAGATAGTGGTCGTGTAGTTCACGTACTTTGGGGGACGATGTGTTGGCCGCTAGATGTCTCATGCTTGATTCTTATCTGATAGATAGATATTTCTCTGTGCATTTGACGACCAATATAGGACACGTCAAGTTGTCGATCAATGTAGTTTATGGAAGGAACGGCCTCTGGGCGGCTAAGAATATTCTCTTGTTTCTATCGAGTTCTACAATAAAAAAAAATGGTCCGGGGGTTCATGAGTTATGATCGGAAATCCAATAGACATACGGACATATGTATAGTCTATAGATAGTAGATACTCAATAATGATTCACCAAAAACGTTAACTTGTATATTAATGTCTGTATAGTGTATAACCAAGATGACTGTGTACCAAGGTGTCTGTATACCAAGGTGTCTGTATACCAAGGTGTCTGTATACCAAGGTGTCCGTATACCAAGGTGACTGTATACCAAGGTGTCTGTATACCAAGCTGTCTGTATACCAAGGTGACTACCAAGGTGTCTGTATACCAAGGTGTCTGTATACCAAGGTGTCTGTATACCAAGGTGTCCGTATACCAAGGTGATTGTATACCAAGGTGTCTGTATACCAAGGTGTCTGTATACCAAGGTGTCTGTATACCAAGGTTTCTGTATACCAAGGTGTCTGTATATCAAGGTGTCTGTATACCAAGGTGTCTGTATACCAAGCTGTCTGTATACCAAGGTGACTGTATACCAAGGTGTCTGTATACCAAGCTGTCTGTATACCAAGGTGACTGTATAGCAAGGTGTCTGTATACCAAAGCGTCTGTATATCAAGGTGTCTGTATACCAAGGTGTCTGTATACCAAGGTGCCTGTATACCAAGGTGTCTGTATACCAAGGTGTCTGTATGTCTGTTGTCTGTATACCAAAGTGTCTGTATGTTTAGTGTCTGTATACCAAGGTGTCTGTATACCAAGGTGTCTGTATGTTTAGTGTCTGTATACCAAGGTGTCTGTATGTCTGGTGTCTCTTTACCAAAGTGTCTGTATGTTTCGTGTTTACTGCAGCTGGTGTACTCCAAGTGACTCCACTACTTTAACCAAAGTTGACACATCGTTAATTACCAGCTCATGTCAATACAAGGATATACACGGTTAACCAGTAATTAACTAGATGCTAAACTTAATCTGGATCAGTGGAGGGGGGGGGGTTAGCTAGAGGATATAGGGGGAGGGAAAGGGGAGAAGGAAGGTTGAAAGGATGCCAGAAGGGGGGGGGGCGTTCAAATCATACTATAGATAAAGAAAAGAAGAACCAAATGTAAGAATAAGAATTTAGTCAAATTAAAACTACTACAAAGTATTTTAATTTTTAAAGTCTAACATTTTTTTGTCATTTGTAACCACAGTTTTACGAAATTTTCGCTCTCGGTATGTATAAGTGTTAAAATAAATCTAAAATGATATTTGACCTGTTTAGCACTTTGCACCATCTGTAATGATTATAGCGTAAAGGTTGGTTCTAGAATGAGCATGTGTGTATAATGTGTCTAGTGTACTGTGGACATTGTGTTAGTTCGCGGATTTTCCACAATTTTAGGATATTGGAGACTACAGCGCTACATGTAACAATAGCATAGAGTCATATATTCCCCACTTATCCCCCTCTCCTTACCAGCACTGCAGATGTCACATCTGGGGCTCATAGTCTAGATAATCTGTTAGACGACAAATATACAAACTCAATTTCAATACCTCCATTTTTTCTATTTATCAAAATAGAAAACCTAAATCTTTAAATCATAATTTTGCCTCTTAAGTAAACAAACATAAACTCAATTTTAAAATCTTCATTTTATCTTTTAAATCAAAACACAGAAACTCAATAGCAAACCTCCATCTTGTTTATTTTTTCAAAATAGAGAAACTCCATTTTAAAACCTCCATTTTATAATTTTATTTAAATAGAAAAACGCAATCTTTGTCTTTTTGTGTTTCATATCCTTGAAAGTAAACACAAGAAATAAATTCTTTCTTTAAAAAAGTTTAAAATTTCTTTAAGTCCATTTTTCTTGTTTTCAATCAATTATTAATTAGATAATTCATTAGATATTTCATTTTGCATTACATTAGATATTTCATTGGATATTTCATTAGGTATTTAATTCGATATTTCATCCGATATTTCATTAGATATTTCATTAGATATTTCAATAGATATTTCATTAAATATTTCATTAGATATTTCATTAGATATTTCCTTAGATATTTTATTAGATATTTCATTAGGTATTTGATTAAATATTTCATTAGATATTTCATTAGATATTTCATTAGTTGTATAATTAGATATTCCATTAGATATTTCATTAGATATTGTATTAGATATTTCATTAAATATTTCATTAAATATTTCATTAGATATTTCATTAGATATTTCATAAGATATTTCATTAGATATTTCGTTAGTTGTATCATTAAATATTTCATTAGATATTTCATTGGATATTTCATTAGATATTTCATTAGATATTTCATTAGATATTTCATTAGATAATTTATAAAATATTTCATTAGGTATTTCATTAGATATTTCATTAAATATTTCATCAAATATTTCATTAGATATTTCATTAGATATTTCATAAGATATTTCATTAGATATTTCGTTAGTTGTATCATTAAATATTTCATTAGATATTTCATTGGATATTTCATTAGATATTTCATTAGATATTTCATTAAATATTTCATTAGATATTTCATTGGATATTTCATTAGATATTTCATTAGATATTTCATTAGATATTTCATTAGATAATTTATTAAATATTTCATTAGATATTTCATTAGTTGTTTCATTCATTTTCCTTCTGCATTCACCTCTACTCATCTTTCGCAAAGAATTTTAATGCACATCCTGCGAGTTTGCAAAATAAACACTTTTAGCTGAAAATTGCACACTTAAGTTTGCTAATAATCCGCCAAGCTTGTCCAGTGTACACTCAGGTAATTATCTTTTTGCGCATTTGAAAAATATTTTTGCAATTAGAGCAGACTCATATTCTGGACTATTATTAAGGTTAATAAAGAGTAAATATGGGTGCCTTATACTTCACAGTGCCTGCTTATAAACAGGCTCAATGATTCTTAATCTTTGGTTTATATTTTACCGCTCTAATTCACTTATACTTTTCTGTAGCCCTATGCATGTTTATTTCATCACTACTAATCACTTTTTCTTAGCTTTGGTTTTTAAGAAGTAATTGGCAAAATTCTCATCGATTTTTGCTTGAGAGCGTGAGACCTTCAAATCACAGTGACTTAGGAAACTTACAAACCTCCTTTATTGTTGTTATTCTTATTCTTTGTTCCTAAAATGCATGTTTTTGACTTTCATGGTTGTTCTTCAAGATTTTCATTCTGGTTCCAATATTTCATTCTGGTTCCAATATTTCATTCTGGTTCCAATATTTCATTGTGAATTTTTTGTTCTTCCAATAAATCGCCTTTTAAACCTTCTTAACAAATAATTTCCCACCTGTATTCCGTCAATAACTGAATCAATTGTATTTCATGATATTTGTTAAATTATTATCTGGACATTCCTAAGATTCCTTGGTAGTCCAGTTCGTCCAGTTTAATTACAGTCATACTTAGACCCCCCCCCATCACAATTAGATTAAGCATACAACATACGAAGAATTAGTTTTCAATGTTGTAACAATGCATTTGTCAACAAATGTTGATACAAAGATGCTTAAGAAGTGCTGGGTCAACTCTATCTAGTTAATGCTGTATTCTTAAAACTTCGTCAAGGTACAACCCGTCCGCCAGAAATGTCAACCAGGACACGATCCACATGGCTACAATCCCGTGAACTTTCAACGCCACTACCACTGGGCGCGATCTCGTTAGCTGTCAATGTCAACACGGACACTAGCAATTAATTGATCAATGTCTCAACCAGGACACGATCCATACGGCTACAATCCCGTGAACTTTCAACGTCACTATACCACTGGGCGCGATCTTGTTAGCTATCAATGTCAACATGGACACTAGCAATTAATTGAGTAAAGCCTCAACTAGGACACGATCCACACGGCTACGATCCCGTGAACTATAAATGCCACTACCACTGGGCGCGATCTCCTTAGCTATCAATGTCAACACAGACACGATCCACACGGCTGCAATCCCATGAACTATCAAAGCCACTACCACTGGGCGCGATCTTGTTATATATCAAACAAGCTCCTAATCGATCAATGCCAATTCTCAAGGCACAATCTCAACTTGTATGTTTCAACAAAATCAAATTACTCTCAACACTGTAGTCAAAGCGGAATTTTTATAATAACTGATGTTTTTGATGTTTATATGCTATATGTTATATGTCAAAGTTAATAGACGTAATTAAAATTCATATGCTGTTATCTGTATCACATGTTACATAATACAGCCCTGTTAAAGTTAATAGACACAATTAAGATATACGTCAATATATATGATTAAACTATTCGTGCTACGTATTTATTTGAAACTAAATTTACAAACGTAAATAGTTAACAATGTACGATGTACTTCATGTTTACAGAATATCATGTTTGCTCGATATTTATTACATCTACACTGGGTAGTCTGACTGGACGGTACGACGGACTACATATAAGTTTTGTCTCCGCACAGATAATGCAACTTTTAGACTTTAATTTTAATAATGGTTTTCTGATTGAAATTGACAAGTACAATATATCATTATCTTTTATTCTTTTTAGCTCAGGTAATAAACCCCGTTTTAACTTTTACATTGTTTACAAAAAAACTGCTACAATTGGTATAAACACATATCTTAAAACTCATATTTCCTTAAAATTAATATTTTTGCAACCTGATGGTGCAAACCTTTGAAATGTCAAATTTAATCTTAGACGAATTTTTTATACGAAATATCAAAGGTCTACAGCATCAGCCTTTAAATTAATTGTATTAGAATACTAGAGTTTGAGGCGGGTAATCAGCTCCTTTGCAGGATAAAAAAGGACCAAAATAACATTTTAAAATTTTTTTATGGCAAAATCGATTTAAGGCTTAATTAAAAATGCATGATGGACTCTTATAATTTGAGGTTTTCTAAGCAGCCAGCCTGAAACATGTCAAAGTGCGAATAAAGAAAAGTACAATGTCATTCAATTTTATCGATGAAATATTGTGGTTGGGGGGG